TCACATAAATTTTGGAAAGGGGCTTGCATTGGTGTAGTGTATTGTATGACTCCTGCAAAAATAGAATAATATTTTTTTGATAGTAAAAAATTTAGATTTTTTTATTCAATGATTTTTTTAACTTGCGCTATGAAAACATTTTTTTTTGACATAGATGTATATAGAAAAATGTAAAATTTAATATTAATTTTATTGTAGATATTAAATAGAAAAAATTTATTAAACAAATAATAAAATAAAAATTAATTTTTATTTTCTTCAATAAAAATAAGTTAGATTACTAACTATCTTTATTCATTGACCATCGTCATGTCGGTTTTTGTGGTATTTCCTAGCCATGGGGGTAGCTGGAGACAAGTTGGGGTGGGGCATCTGGGGTCTACTGGTGGGATCGTTCTGCATTTATTCTGATGAGTGGAAAATATTCCAGCTAATGACCTATGGCTATGCGCTTCCTCCTTCATTATTATTATTATTATTATTATTTTATGGCAAAATAAATAAATGAATAAATAAATATATATATTTTTAAATGATGTACAACATGTAATCTCGTAGGCGTACAGGTAAGATAAAGTATGTAAAGAAATAATCTCTAGTAAAGTGAACTAGGCATTGCAACGATATATATTGGGTAATTAATTAATGGAAAATTAATTTCAATATTTTAACGAAGCAATTGATTTTTTTTATTAACCTAGGAAAGCAATTAGTTACCCCTCACGGGGAGTATAAATTTTTATTTTTAACTTGTTTGTGTGGACTTATGTAGTAAAAATTGAGGGGAACATTTATAAAATAAAGTTTTAAATTACTTCAATGTTATTTGGCAGCAATCAATTTTTAATGGTCACGCCCAATTAGTTATGGGTAGAGATTTGTCCAATATGTATAAACTATAAACAAAAGAGGTAATTTATGAGTAACCATGAGACTAATTGAATAAGTTTATTTCTAACTTGTATCTTAAATTAGATGTTAAGAATATATTAAGTATACTTTTTTATTATAATATACAATAAAAAAATTAATATTTAATTTATTAATTGTCTAATAATTTCATTCACTTCACACCTACACTAAAATTAATATTAACATTTTATTTTTTTATATGTATTTATATCAAAAAGATGTTTTTAACGTTACGATACATATTAAAAAAACTCATTTTATTAACATTACACCAAACCTTATATTGACTCATGATGAGGTACCCAACATCAGATACATTTCATATATAAGTGTTTTTATTTTTCAAATTTTATTATTTTTTTATTTTGGTTGCACAATGGGAGTCAATTATATCTTATCTCTTATCTCTTATCCTATCTCACCTGCATGTCATGCAAATTAAATTTAAAACCACTTACTTTAAACAAAAAAAAATTATTACTAAGTTACTTATGTTGTTAGGTATGTTTCATAAGTGTTAAGATAACAGAGATAGATAAATTTTTACGGGAGTTGTTTGGATTATTGTTTTAAAAATAATTATTAGTTGTTGGCTTCAATTGACTGAATTAATTAAATATTTTAAATTATAAATAACAATAATTATTAATAGTAAGATATTATTTATTAACTATCAACTCCATATGAATTGCTAATCCAAACACAGCCCTATGTATATATCCTCAACACCAATTAAAGCTGAAGAGTAATCTTCGCAAAAAGGCCTAAATGATTCACTTGATTGTGGGTGTTGTCCTTAAAGTATCGAAGGATATGAATTTTGTATAGAAAAGTTCCTTGGATTAAAACGTTTATATTATACTAAATGGGAAATTGGTGGATACTTTTAGTTTGTCCGGGAAGATGGGTTGGCAACACTACTATCTTTAGTCTTTATCCTTAATTATCATGGGTCTATTTTTGTTGGGAGACAACTATGCTGAACGACATAGAATTAATACATACAAGGGCGAATTATTTTGAACCTTGTTAAGTTTATGAACATACATATTTTACTTGTTCACGTCCTAATAGTGTTAAGATATATATTGAGAGAGTCTATTGCTTTAAGATTGATTGACTTTATATAATTAAATAATATATTTGAATTTTGAATTAATTAGAAGAATGTATTTAGAATATTTTAATACTTGTCCTAAAATCTATATAAATAATGACTTCTACATTTAACTTGTTTATCATTCTTGAATCATAGCAAAATTAATATCTTTCTTTTTATTTTCTCTTCATACTTTACATGATTTATATTTTTATTTTAGGTTACATAATGGGAAATGATTTTCTCCAATCTCTTAATTCACTCTACCAATATGCCATGCAATTTGACCAATATCAAAAAAACATATCATGTGATTTGAATTTATAATCTTTTAATTTTATTGAAAGAGGATTACCATTAAGTGAATTAAATCGTTGGGATACTACTTTTTCTATGATTTAAACCTTAACAATCACTATTTAAGTAATATAACACTTCAAATTCGCATTCACACGTGTGAACAATTGCCAACATTTTTTACTATACTGTTGTAGAGCTTATGCATCTTCTCCCTTGTTACGAATAAAACCACTTCAAATTTCTTTTGGAAACCAAACAATCTGCATATTAGATTAGTGTGATGAGCTAAACATGATGTATATATATGATGAGAAAGAAGACAAAATATTGACGCCGTTCAACATACCTCTCCCGTTAAAATCCAAAAGGCGCAGATTCTCCTCTGAAATAGTGTACTTCAGTAGGAGACTTCCCCATACATGATGCATTTTTCATAGAAAAACTTTCGAGTTTTCCAGTTGTTTTCAAAAAGATGTTGCTGGCTAATACTCCAGCTGTTTACGCTGGCTGGAGTGGAGTAGACAGTTAAATAAATAAAGTAAATTATTGGAAAGCTTTAATTAAACATAGTTGTGTGCACTAAGAGGTTCTTGGTCTTTAACCGACGAGAAGGATTGGAACTTTGGAAGCACTGAAACATATGAATGCATTGTCTCCTGTCACACTCGATCGAAGCTAGCAGACAATCTTTCTTTCCATGCTTATATTCATTTTCAAGCAAAAATTCAAAAGGAATTTCAAGCAATTATGCTAAAATTTTCCAAACTTAAATTGATCTTAAAACCCTATTTTTTTTTCCTCCACTATAATTATGTTATAAACACGAATTTAAGATTTAAAGCCTCAAATTCATATCAATTTAAACACCCATTTTAGCATACAGAGCACATCGGAGCTAGGGGGTGATTTTTGTGGAGATGATTGCGGGATCTAAGGCATTGATGGAAAAAACTCAGAAATAAAATTCCAATCCTTTCGGAAAACGATTTGATCTATATAAATTAATTTACTTCCGAAGATTATGGAGTTTCTATCATATCCAAGTTTCCAATCGCTAGAGTTGGGGCTGTAAATTTCTAGAGATGGTGGTCGGAAGAGTGGAGGTTTATTCCATCATATTTCTTAATTAGTTTACCTTTTCAATTTCTGTTTCGGATTTTAAGTAGTTTGATGTGTTTGAGTAACTCAAATTACTTATTTAGTTGTTTTAGAATTCTAGTATAATAGTCTTTTTATAGGTTTTTGTAGGGATTTAGAAGCAAATATTTAAAATTCACATGTCCCTTATAGCATTTGATAATATTTATAAAATTTTTTATAAAAAAATAAACACATAATATTAATAATTTAAATTAAAATTAATTTCTGCATTTTTATACAAAAAAAAAAAATCATTGGTCAATTAATATTCCTATTCTATTTCTCGAGGGTACACAATAAAAAAACCGTACTTAAAATTTTTGAATGAAAAGTGTTAAATAGAATAATAACAAAAAATGATGTTTTGCAGTATACCTTACATAGACTATATTTCATTTTTCTAATAACAATATTTTTTTAAGAAACCAATAATAGAATTTTTTTTATAATAAAAACAATAATATTTCTCCCTTAAGAAAGGTCTGTGTGGTTTCACATGAAAGAATTTTATGCTCTAGAAATATTTTTTAAAAAAAATTGTTAGTTATAGTATTTAGATATATTAATTTTTTTGATTGATTTTAATCTATCAATTAATAAATATCAATTATTTTTTAATAATAATTATTAATTATTTTTAATAATAAAAAATATGGGTAATGTTATTTTTACATCCTCAATTATTAATATCAATCACACTTTTTTTATTTTAATCGATCATTATATTTTTAATTTTTTTTAAAAAAAATTAAAATTTAAGAAAAAATGTAATGTAAAGATAATAATCAAATATATTAAAAGAATGTAGTATTAATTATTTAGGATATGGTGATAACCTTATCCATAAAATATATGTGACAATATTATGAATTTATTTATAAATTAATTCATTGTGAATGTTTCACATTTTTTTATCTTTCACTACCTCATTTTTCATAGTATATACATACCAAGTAATGATGTAACTTTCACTATTTACATGTAATTATAATGATTATTAACATCCCCATAATGCCATGTATTTAGCTAGTGATAATGAAATTCTTTATAATTCCTTTATTAATAAAAAATTAATCATTATAATCTTTATTTACTAAATATTTATTACTTATAATTCTTATTACCTATTTTCCTTTATATATAAGGTATATACTCTTGTAAATATATAAAGAAAAAAATATATTTCTACATTATTTCACTTTATTTCTTTAATTTTTTTTAAAAATTAATTTTTTCTTTATTTTATGACATACAATAACTCATTCTTTTAATGTTATGCGTGACAATAATTATATTAACGAAGACTGTCATATCTCATGCATGGCGGCTAACGCATTACCCACGTGAAAGGTAAGAGGTCCACTCAGGAGACGTGGCAAATCTCGGAACACCAGATCGTTTTTTTTTTTTTTTCAGTGCTAGGAGATGAGGCTTTCCAACATATCCTTCGCCATTGAGGACCAGTGGATTGCAACCATGGTGTGCTAACTGGTAAGGCCCTCCATCGGTCGATTGATGTAACTTGTAACCGGTATGATCGTAACATACGCCTCCTGGTGCGAAATCTTGGATTGCGTGACAGAATTTTCTTTCGTATTTGTTTTCCCATAATTTCGCATCTTCTGCGGTCCCCAGACATTAGTGATGGCAAACGAACTTAAAGTTATTCTCACCATCTATATTATTATGGTAAAATTATTAATTTATCTGTAATTTTTTCAAATAATTGATATGATATTTGATAATATTTATTTATAAATCAATTTTAATATATTATTAAATAAT